TAATAAATTCGATATATGATTACACGAAATTAACACATCCGGCGAACGAGAAGAGCTTTTTCTCCCTCGGTTCCGCGCAGTTTTTAGTGCGCGCTAAATCGTCTGAATGGGCACAAACACAAGGCCAGGTTACCTCATTGTTTTCGTAGATCTCTAACTATCAAAACTTCAAGATCAAATTAACGATTGATTCCTTTTGATCGACTTCTGACGCTGTGTCACCACCAGTGATTGGTCCGTGAAAAAACAGGGAAATCGAGAAAAAATCTTTCGGCTTTAAAAGGTGTTTCCAAAAAAATTAACGTCTGACAGAGTCAACCAGGCTATCAGCATGGTTATTTGTCGAAAAACCTGAAAGGTTACTGTACCGATTATGCGCGATACCACAAAAATCACATCAGCTCAAGCCTCAACCGTGCCTCTTAGGATTTTGGTTTGGCTTTTTCTTTTTTCGGAAATCTCTTTGGACTTACTGGTGCATTATTTAGAAAAATCCCACTCCGAAATTCGCCAGTGGCTTTTGTTGCTCGGGAAAAAGGCTGAAGCGACTGAGGTTACAGTGACGACAAATAACTTCGCTTTGTTCATTGCCTTCATTTAATAGATCGCAAAATTTTTTTCAACATAATTTACTGTTCCAGAATTAGAAATCCCAGCGGTAATAGGTCTCCTTCAGTTTTTACTTGGTACGGTAGTTTTCCGAATGTCGAAGTACGAATTCCTTCCAATGGTTCACCGCCTCATCGTGGCTGTGAGGTGCTCCTGGGTGTCGCACTGCAATGTAAAGCGGAGCGATTCATCCCACGGCAGGGTCTCCCAAGCTGAGAAGGAGTCCGGCGTTTCCATAAGGAAGCCTAGCTAACAGTAAACCAATACCAAGACCCACCACCATCTTAGTATTAAAGTCGCATGGTGGCAAATCCTCCTCTGATCCACAAGGGCTGCAATCGCTAATGGTGAAGACCCGGTGCAGACTTTGGCCAGGCTGACCTCGGGATTCCAGGAAACCACAATGCCTTAACCAGCAGATCTCCGAAAAGTGGTGATTATGCTGGATTCCGCACAACCAGTGAGGACGGGTCGTTCAAGTATCAAGAATCAAGAAATACGAAATTAATATTTTCGCTTTTTTTGACAAACTGAGAAAATCAATAAGGTGGAAAAAACATGGGAGCATGACCGAATAGTTAAGAAAAACAGTTGAATAAAGGTGAAGCGTCACAGTGTAGTGAGGCCATAAGGCACTGTTGTGAAATTCTACTACTGAACGTCGACGATTAGCAATTTTAAGAGGTACGTGTTACCATCGAATGCTTAACCGAGAATTGTGAATACGATGAACCGAATTCTCCGAAATTCTCGTCTATCTTAATAAAACCATATTTTAACGCGTATTGTGTGAAACGACACAAAATGCTCAATTGTCTTAGCCTCTACTATACTGATGACATTTTAGTTCTAAAATCCATTCTTACTCAAGAGTTGACTATATTTTAGCGTTTGCGAGTTATCTTGTAACGCATCTGTGGAGTGGTTAGATCGAAATATAAGTTGAGCAACTTATATGAAATGTTTCAGCCTATCATTTTCTATCGATTCGCTTTACATTGAATGACGAACGAGCTATGAAAGAGTTCAGTTATTCATGTGCTCTACACTTTTTTATCATGGAATCAATTCACTTAGAAGCTCTGTTCAAGTACAGCTCCTTCTATTTCGATTTTGATTCCCTCGATCTTCTATGTCATAAAAATCTTTCTTGTTTTCATAACTATAAATTTTATGACTTGAGACACTCGGGACGCCCGGAGGCCCTGCTACTTTGGACGACACCTAATTTTCACCCGTCAGGGGTATGCTGGTTTTCTGAAAATATGCGAGAGGTTTTCGATAAGTAAAGGACTCTAGGTGTTGTGAACGTGATATAGTTATAGAAGAGACTTTGCTTTATCGTTCTTTAGGTATGGATAACATGTACGATGTTGTTTTTAATTTATTGAGTTCACACGAGGTTGTTAAAAGATGCGGTGCATGGGTGTGCACGGTTCATTCGTGCGGTGTTCACTGAAGAAGATCCCAGCTCGGTACGACAATGAAAATGTTGATTGTTTCACTACTGAGGTTAAACGACAGAAAAGAAATAATCCCTTTATAACTCACACCGGGCAGTTGGCGCTCTGCTTATGAATGCATAAAATATACAGAATGCACATCGTCGCGAATGCGTTGGTCCTAGAAAAATGGATTGCCTATCAGGTTTCGTGTGAGGGCAAGCACAAGAAACCAATCGGCCAACCAATCAAGCTGTCCACAGTTTTTATCTGTACAAATCAATAGCAGCTGAAAAGCATATGATATGTGGACAAGTAGCTGGGATATAGAGGGTTTACAACATGATCATTTTGTGGACTAAACTTTTCTATAGACTACCAGAGCAACGAAATCCGAGCTGTGTTCTCTATGAAAAATTTTCATGCCTATCTGTTGCCAGTTATGAAATTCTCTGAATTTCTTGGATGTGTAAAATAACCGCCGATAACAAATGGCAGAGAAAAAAATGAACGATGCACTCATTTTGAGCGTGAATGAGGTCGTCATAGCAAAATGAAGCAGACCAGCTGCAGTTCTCAGAGAAAGACGAATGCTGAACAGTCCGAGGCGGCTGGCGATTCAGCTGAAAATTACTCTCATCTATTTTAAATCCTAGAACAGAACAGACTTCAAAGTTTTCAATGTAGGCATCGATTTATGATTCCGCTGTTTCTTTGCTTAGTAATTTACGTTCTTTCTTATTTATCCTTTTTAGCTCCAAGATAAGATAAAAGGACCTAAAATAATAAATGTACGAAGATTATGGGGCTTCAAACAACTAAAAAACAAGTTGTTGGGCTAATTTTTCAAGGTAGGGCTCTGCTTCTAGAAGTGGGTTCTCTAAGAGCAAAAGCATTTTAAAAGAAAACTGAAAGAAGGATCAATAAACATTTTTAAAGGTTATGAAAGCGTTGTTGGTCCAAGCGTGAGGTTAGTGCCTTATTAAACCGCATCATGGAGGAAAACGAAGTCTCTCAAGCAGCTTTGCCGCCTCTTCAGCTATCTTCGGCTATTAATAAATATTTTAGAAAGACTGTTTGGCACTGGTTCAAAGCAAATAGTTGTGAATCATCGTATCAGCAGGTAGGATGCATAGACAGAGAGAAAATAGAAATGTCTGTTACTTCTAACAATTCAAATCCTTCACTGCTCAAAAACTCTCGCTACTTTTGTCTTAATTCTCAGTGCAGTACTCCTTTAATCGATTTCTTCTGTAGAGGCACAAAATTCTCATTTATCAGGCCAAGTGATTTTTCTGACCTCAGAAGGACAGTCTTGGAAATTCCACCGAAGCACTTTAATAGACCGCCTAATACACTTTCTTCTAACACCTAATCATCGCATTACAATAATACGTCTTTTCCGGTAGCCGACTGTCACATTTCTCTTCCACTCATCTAGAATGCAAGCCACTTTAGTCGTCATCCCTTCGCAACAGTACCGTGGTTATAGGTTGAAATGGAAGCGAGAACTCATCACGAAGAACCTCAAAGAAAGTTTTTTAGCCGCAAAGTTTTTTATTGCTCGAGACTTTTTCCAATGCCGGGTGATAATTCAATCGTACTGTATAGCGTGAATGGATAAGGGTTCAATTTTCACCTCTGCTTACTAATCATCGTGATTAAAGATTTAATAGTGCAGATACAACTTTGATGAATTCCTTGATGACTCTGCGTCCAGCATTTTCATTGCATTTTAGTCCCTCGTTGATCTCTCCAGTGATGATTTTCTTTTGTTGTTTTCGTAGCAATCATGTTTCTCTGAGTTTTTATCTATAGTGCACCCTACTACCGTAAAATAGACGTCAGCATGTTGTGAAGCTTATGCCTAAGCCGGAAAAACTGTGTGAGCAACACGAGTGAGATATGCTTTCCGGACTACGGTATGTCGGACAGCTCGGCAGGTTTTATAAACGTTATATGCATTGTAAAATTTTTTATCAACCTCGTCTTTGCTTAGTAATCCAGCAAGCTATTGATTATTTATTCCGGGGTTAAATGAGGGTCGGTTTTTAGAGCCGTATGCATTTTCTTCAAGAAAAAAGAAAAGGGCGGAAAAAAATCATTGGCGAAATCTCATGCCCAGTCGCACTAATCGGTTTTTCATCGTAGAGCCTTTCTTTGTTCTAGTGAACATTTTTTTTGGTACTGATTATGAATTAGTGAAAGACTTGCTGCGGATATGCAATAATGTAGGTCTTACCTGTATCATCCTTATCAGGTGACCTGAGCGTATGGCGGTGAACTTCCCATTCATCCATGTTGTACTGTGAAACTGTCCAGTGGACTTCAAGTGTGAAAGAACACGAAAAGTTTGTCTATACAATCAGTGATGACACACTTGCTAGAAACGAAAGTAAAAGGCAGTCGTACTCGGATGAAATTTATGAAGTTTGGTTCAGCGTGGGAACGAAGTGAGAAAAAATCGATTAGCTTCAAATATTATTTACTAGACAGCTGTAAAAATATGGCCGTTTTTGAACAGCAGTTTTGAAATGCTTTAGTCCAGTTCAGATTGGTTCCCGTCAACTGCTTTGTTAATCAAAACAAAAACGGTTGGTTTAGTTAATCTACTTAAATTCCTTGCAGTGAAGCAGCACTTGTAAAGCACTTGTACTGTCACGAGTAAAGAACTCATTGCTTCAAAAATACCGGACATTGCCAGAGATTACCAGATTTGTTTAACCACATTGCAAAAAATAGGCATTTTACCGTCACAACGGTTTTTCTCTTTAATTTCCAAAAGTCTCACTCATATGAATGCAATAGATTCTACGTTCTTACACGCACATACTATTAGTGTTTTTACACAGCTTATGCATCTAAACTTTTTGAAGGCTTTTTCCATTATCGTTATGAGATCAAAAATCATATTTCAAGGTCTGGCGTTCAGAGGGCGTTCCGATCGTGATGCGTCATGTAGGAGTGGCGTCACGCCCCACCAACAGAGCCACCTCCTCCACAGCCCCTCACACGCATAACCCATTTACAATGGCAGACCAGGCGGCCGAAATTGCTTCTGCGGTCCCAGTTCCGGAACATGAATCCGACCCTGCGGCTACCCCTGCTCCAGAATCTGCTCTTCAAGAATCTATTCCTGCTCCCGAAGCTGCTGCACAATCTCTTCCTGCAACTCAAACTTCTTCAGATGTTCCATTGGCTCAAGACACAGTTCCGAGTGTTGGAGTTGAATCTGCACCATCTGATGCCACAGCACCGTCTATGGAGACAGCACTCACCGATGCCTCAGCACATGATAAACCTTCGCCTAAGGCCGAAATACCTTCTAACGCCTCAATAGTTGAAAATGTCCCGGAATCTGGTGAGTGTTTAGTGACTTCTTTTCCTTAAAAACAAAACTATCTCAAACAATCTGTTACTAAAATATCTACTACCACTTACCCTTAGCTCTTCTATAGAAAACGAAGAGGAGGAAGATGAGGTGGTGTATAAACCCAGAATTCGGCCGATAATTCGAATCCATGTAGGTATGTACGATGAAAGAGTGTCATTCTCACACATTTTTGAGTGGTCTGTGGTTTCTAAATCGTTTTAGTTCATCTTCCTCATCGGAAGTTCCTAATATTTTATTTGTTATATCGATTAATTAAGCAAAACAAGGCGGTCTGAAGTGTTTGGACTGTGGTGACGTTTACATCCCAACCGCTTTAACCCCAAACGCATCCTTAGTTACATCATTATCAGTTTTCCTCAGAAATCTTTAAAAAATTCTTTTATAGTGCCCGTGGAAGAGGAGTGCCATAAGAAGGAACTAGCTACCGACCATACCGCTCCGGCTTCAAGTGAAACTGGTGAACCAACTTCAGAAACTACACAAGAAGCGCAAAAGCAGTCAGAAATTGTACCACCGCCAACTCAAGAAGCCCAAAATGAGAAGAAAGTCTTTTCCGCTCCAGAAGCCCAACCTGAACTCCAAACAAAAGTCGTTCAGAGCCTGGAAACAAAAATCGATGTCCTTCCACCTAATGGGGCCACTTCGGAAGCATATGATGACCGATCGGTAGAACCTAACGTCGCTCCAGAAGCGGAAGGCGAAGTTGTTCACACAGAAGTCTCAACAGAGGCGCCTTCCGAAATCGCTAAAGAATTACAGGCACAATCTGAAACTGCTCAGACTCCAGAGTTGCAAAATAAACCGCAGATGGAGTCTATCGTTTCGAAGGCAGAACCCGAAGCCGTCCCCAACGCAGAAGCCTCAAATGAAACGCAACCATCAGCACTTCCAGGGTCAGAAACACAGTCCGATTCTGCTCCGATTTCAGAATCGCGAGCTCAACTACAGGCAGAGCCTGATTCTGTTCCAGAAACCGAAGCTAGACTCGTTCCTAATGCAGAAGCCCCATGCGAACAACAATCAATAACGCCTCAAGGATCAGAAGCACAGTCCGAGGCTGTTCCGGTTTCAGAACCGCAAGTTGAACAACAGGCAGATTCTGATGGTACTCCAAAAGCAGAAGGTGGAGTGGCTATGATTCCTGATGCGCAGGCCGTTCCAGAAGCACAAACAGAAATTCATTCTCTTCCAGCACCTGAAGTCGACGCAATTTCAGCATCAGAGGTGAAAGCTGCGCCACAAGCTGCAGAAATCCCTGATGCTGAAGGAAAAATCAAGACATCAGCTGCAGATCCACAACTCGAACCGCATAATGAGCCTGCTCCAACTTCGGAAGTAAATTCTGAAATTTCGAATCAAGAGGTAGCTGGAGAGCCTCAAGTTGAGACTATTCCAACTGCTACATCAGATCCACAACATGTCGAAGTCACACCATGCTCCGAACCATCTCCTGAATCCATTACAGAACCGGACAAAGAAGGAAAAGTCGACACTGATTCTACTCCAAGTGTTGACGCAGCGATACAGCAAGCAACTCCGGCTGCTGCATGTTAGATTACTCTCATTGTTACGATACTGTGTGAAGCCGGATAAAGTGATAAACCTCAGTTTTATACTTACTATAGGAAATAACATAAAAAATCATCCGTCACGTAGACATTCCACACATTGTTTGAAATTAAGCATCACAGATTACAAGGTTTAAAAGGGTATGCAGGAGAGGGACTGAAAACCAACTTGGTCCAAAATGAATAATGGTTTGCGGGTTTTAATATGCCCAAGAGAAGGTTAGTTAAGCGTGTGAGAAACTGATCAGAAAAAGAATGGGCACAAAACCTTTCCAAAAAAAAGGAAAAAAGATGGCTGACATATTCCTATACTGATAGGAGAAACCATGTGATACAATACTTAAAAATACCAGTTGTTTCAACTGTGGTTGGATGAATGTAGTAAAATGCATCATATTTTCACGTGAAAACAAGGTTTCCGCCGTCCAGACATTGTTTAGATCATTTTACATGTTCTACAATCCGTTACTATAAGAAAAAATCTATCTAACAATTACATGACCACTAGAAAGAAATGAATGGTGACTGAGACAGAAATGAATGCTGACAGGACGGTGATGGGAAACGAATCCCATTTTTAATGACCGGTAGGGCAGAGAGGGTTCAGCTTTGCTTCAAAACCTAGCTTCCTATAGTCCGCTCATAATTTTCGATATAGAGCACATCAACTCTTCCATGGAACGACTGTCCTCGAACGATTCCGAATCCCGTCGCATCATTTGTTCACGGATTTGCGACAATCGACGAGAAAAATCGCAAGCCATCTCGAATTCACTGCGAGATTTACGACTCGTCTAAAAAACCTACAGTAGTAGGCAGTCAAGCAGCCTATCAGAACAAATATTCCCAATGCAAATCACTCCCAGTATAGAGTATATCTAGTCCACATTCATTACCACCTACGGATTTAGCTGATTCTTCGGCGAAAGCGTACCACTGGGTGCGATTCTCGTTTGCCGAGTAGTCGTCGTTTTACGTTTAGGGTCAACTCCGAGCTATGACGAACGCCATTAACAAACTGCGCTGCTGCACCGTCGAGTGTCATGTCTTTTAACTTTGACCATACCTGAAAGGTAATAAATATATAGTCCTTAGCATTTTTAAAGGCCCAAGTTATGTCGACGTTTAACGATTGGCTAAACAAGTACTACAAGCAAACAGTCCATCGATCATAAAGGCTTTAAGTCACTAGTACACTAGTAACATTTTAAAAAATACGCATTCTACTATACATCAGATAGCCTCTGCTCAACGGTAATTGTATAAATTCCATAAACTTCCAGGCAAAGGTTGTATATGAATATGAAAAATCACAGTATTGAAAGGGATTTGCTGTAAATTAAAGAAGCCTATGTAATCGCCTTTTATTCAATGTCTATTCTTTTTTCATGGCAGGATATGATGTGAAGTACAATTACAATGGTGCTGAGATATTTGCAAAACTCCGGACTGCAGGTGTGTGTAGCAGGGATCGAGCATCGTTACTACCCTTTCCGAGGCTTAACGTGCTCCCCACCACACCATGGGTGTCCTTCTCTACGCCTTTCTTTCAACCGTGTTTCATAGGGGCTATCAGCAATCACCCGCGCACTGCACGGTATTTGTATGGAGAGCACAAATCGGTATTGAACCCAGTCAGGCTGATGGTGTAGTATAAATCATTAAATATGGTAGTGAACACGTTAGTCTCCCGAGAGGGTAATAACAAGGTTCGATTCCCGCCGCAGACACCTGCTCTTCGGACTTTTCGAAATACCTCTGCATTATTGTAAGGAAACCTGAATCCGGAATAGCTACCCGTTAGAAACTGCCGAAATTCGGCAAGTCGAACAACATCCTAAAATCCCGATGGGATCTTGCGATCACAAGATGGGCATGGTCTGGAAAGGCAATGCCAAGACTAAGTACAAGCAAAATGCCGAATCACGAAAGTGTTAACACAATCCCAAAAACATGGAGCTTCGGTGCACGAAGCCAAGCAAGAAGAAACAAGAGGAACGACAAATTCGGGTCGATTCATCATTGGTGTGCTTCTACCTATTCAATCTGTAAAGCAGTAGTGTCCCACGTGGTCACCGAATAGCCAAGCAAAAGCACGTATCCTAAATGCATGAAAATGACATAAACACCCTTGTTTTCATGAAAAAAAGCTGCTTTAAAAAAATTTTAGTAATGTGGTTATGTAATGCTAGTTCCTAGACAAGAACAAACGGATAAATGAAGACGATTTTTGAATTGATTAGCCACAACGTGATGGTTTTAAAACGTCGATACAACGTTCCTCAAACGTTGTTCGCATTTAGAAGATGTTTTTTTTTAAAAAACCTTCAAGACGCTGTTTGGAATCCTCATCTCTGTGAAGTTGCTTGAGAAAATACAAAATCTGAGGCATGATCCGACGGCAACAAACCTTACATGGTTGACAGTAGATGAAGATGCCAAACCGATTAATTATAAAAAATACTGGAAAACCAAAAATATCTCTCTGAACAAATGAGGACACAATTTTGAGAGCACAGTGCTGCATTGGCAACTCGCAACCTCTCACCATAATGTAGATGGAATCCACGACGGCGAACTTTAAATTAAATCCGAATGATGATTTGTTTCCCAGATCCTTCCCGTTGACGAGTAACTGCCGATGGCACTGTTAATATAGGAAAATGGCTGAGAGAAAGACAATGGCCGCAGCGGTGCATTGGGTAAAACGTGCGACATTGAAAGCGTAATTTCGAGTTTGAATCCCGCCTGGAGTCTGAGTTTTGCAAACATCTCAGCACCATTGTGGTTGTGTTCAACACAATAGCTTTCCATAAAAAACCACAAGCCGAATATAATAGTGTTATTTAAACTGAATCTCTTTCACTAAACACTTCTCCGTTCCAAAATCTCTATACAAGCTCCGATCCCTAACATCCGCATTGAAATAAAACGATCCTCGATTCGTCCCATTGAAGTTGTGGTCGAATGAAAAAGTAGTAGAGCAGTTTCAGTACAATATTTCCCTTAAGCTACTGAGCTAATGTGTCCTAATACGATATTGTTACGAAGTTTTTACTCCGCTACCGTTTCGGCGCCTTCACCCTCTCCAGCACCACAGCGATTCGTGCTGATCGTCCGCACCCGGTCGTTGCAGCGATGTGAGTGAGTCTTCGTAGTAGTAACTACTCTTGACGAGGTTTAATGAAAGTCAGTTTTCAAGGTACTCTTCCAGCACAGTTCAAGAACAGGACAAAATCACATCCCTTTTGAGCTGAAAGCGTCAAACTATATAAAGTCTTCGAAAAATTACCTTTAAGTTAAAGAGTTAAAAACCTCAAATTAGTGAAGTCGACATAATCTATACCGCTCAACAAGGAAGGGACCACAAAGAGAACCACGTTCTATGTTCTTGTCAACCATTCTTCAACAAGCCTTTATGAATCCCTCATAGTTATCTTACCTGCTCGCGTATATTAACGATTTTGGACGAAACTCTATCAGCTCAACAAACAGTACTGGGACACAAGTACCACTACATTTACTATATTGAAATCATAGAAAAATTGTTCCAGGAGTAGCATCGTTCGTGGGTTCAAATTATTGTCCAACAGGTAATGCGTTTGATGTGGTCGAAACGAACGTCATTCAATCAATGCTTCTCTAACCAAAAATGGAAGAGCTTCATTCAATTGCTGTCCCAATTGTACCATGATAAGAGATGGAAGGTTTGGTGAGACGACTCCTCCCTACTCTCCTTCTCCTATGTATACAACATCAGATCAGGTAGGAAACGCGTGGGCGTCACCATGCCCGAAACAGCTAACGTTGGTTCAAGACTCTTAAGGCACGATAATCACACATATCATCTATCGTTCAACTGATCACTGAGTGAATGAAGCGTTTGCCAGTAAGGTCACCATCTGTTCTGCTAGTTGCTGAGACACAGAGTTCTTCTTGCTTTAGGAACTTGTTGAGTGCATTTTTCTTCCAGGATACTCCATAAAAAGCACAAGGAAGGAGGCGATGGTCGTTCTGAGGTGCATTTAACATCCCGTGGAAGCGATTTTTTGGCGATGTTTGTTCACCAGTTGTCGTTAAGATGCATAGTTTGTACTTTCCACGCGATTTTCGACATCTTCCCGTATATATATACACAGGAAGTTCTCATCATTAATCTTTGACATAGGTAAGAACCTTGAATTTCTTCCCTCAAGTGAACATCAATCTCTCTGACTGTGTGTTCGATAATGTTGAATGATTTTTCATTTTATTTAAGCAGCGTTTCCGCTGCTCACGGTAAGGTAAAAAGCATTGCAGAGTCGAAAGATGAAAATGAATGAATAGGACGTTTTTTGTTGCATTTCGAAACCGACTTTCCCTGAACCTCGGTGTCACTAATCAATATGTATTCTTTCTTTGATGAGCTTACACGAGGTTGATAATTATGTTTATTTTCGGCTAACGTTTCGACGTCTTCGTCTTCCTCAGAGCCGATGATCCGAGTCGATGGTCCTCGCTTGTTATTCGCCTCGACGTGGCAGCTTCGCCTTCGTGTCGAGTTAGGTCTTCTTCAGTGAGCCATCTCCTCGAATGAGGAGAACGAGGACCATCGACTCTATCCCTCGAAGTGCACTTTTTCACCATTTTACTATAATAAGGCGTGTGTAGCACAGTGGTTAGAAGTGTTCTGCAATGCACATGACATCGATCTCGAGCCCCAGGCACAACAAGCCCTCCATCCTTCCGGGGTCGAGAAATTGGCACTAGATTGGTCTGGCAGGAAAGCAGCACTGGTTCGATACATCGATGGGCCACCGCGAGTCATTAGGCCAGATATACACCTCCAAATGATGGTCAATGAAGTCGAATGCGTTTTAATCCTCAAGGATTGATAAACAGCGAGAGCTTTATCCATTACCCTCTTATTACTACAATAAGTGTTTTGTTTAAAGAGGAAGATACGCTTTACTTGGAATTAAACGAAGTTCCCGTACAACTACGTACAACGCGATCTATGACACCTGTATGACGACACGACCTCTATATAAATAGTACTGTATAGAATGCAGGCTTCAACTTTAAATCAACATACCTCAGCTTAGTGAATTATAATTGCGGTAAAAACTACTGGAATCTACAGATCTTTGTCTGCAAGAAAGACCTGCTTTTCGCGAAATTTCGATTTTCTTAAGCAAATGGATTTCTTCCACTCTGTTGCTTCAAAGCACACCCTCGGAACGCGAAAGCAATTCAAAAAGCGAGATTTTATCCAGCGAGACGTGAACGTGTTTTCGGACGTATTACTTGTTGCAGCAGTTGCTCTTTCAAAGGAAACTTTTAAATTTCGCTCTCAAATTTTTGGAAATTTTAATTGCAAAAATATTTAAATCTCACAAAATAAATAAAGGGTCGATCAGTCCCTGAAGGATAAGCCCCATGCATATGACTTGGTTAGATGTGATTGAATGAATATTTGACCTATACAATGATGGCATACTGATTTTTAAGGTCTGTGTTACTATCCTTCCAGGCAAGTCTGGCATCGGCTCGCCGACCTCGGATGGATTGAAGGCTTGGTGAGCCTGGAGTGTGGAATAAAAGTATTGACCACGTATGCAATGCAAGGCACTTCTAACCACTGTGCTACACGCTCCCTCTTGAAAAATATTTCCGTAGGAATTCCACTCGTGACTAATACGATAGATCAAAGCCTCATCTACAAATCTATAAAGTTATGAACTCTCGAAACACTCTAGTTTTAGCGAAATTGCAGTTATATATCGAGAAATCAGCAAAGAGGCTAAAAGAAGCTAAAGTAGAGATTTTAGAGATTATGCACATTTGTCGTCATTCCGGTTAATCTCACTTTGGAGTCATTTTTGGATTATAGGCCAAGTGTCCTTCAATAAAATAAAGGATAAAGCTCTCGGCGCTGATCAATCCCTGAGGGATGCGCCATGCAATAGACATCATTAAACATCGTTTGGAGGTAACTGAATGCATATCTGGTCTTTACAATAACTCCCAGTGCCCTACCGATGTATCGAACCAGTGATTCTATCCTTCCAAACAAAGCTGGTACCAGTTTGCCGATTCCGGAGGCATAGAAGGCTTGGTGAGTCTGGGGCGCCGGGATCGATCACGTCTATCGCAGGTACCTCCGACCACTGGGCCACACTCGTTCTTCAAATCAGTAAAAAACCATACTGCACTTCGAATCCCAATACAATTTGTAGGCTATTTCTATTGAAACCACATCACCTTAGCACATTCGCGATAACGTACATTGACTTCAAAGCCTAAAATCCCGAAAATGGATCCGCTTTCAAACTTCAAACCAAAATAAGTCATAGAGGAGATTACTAGCTGCAATAAAAAGAAGAAGAAAATGATAAAATTGGCCAAAGAGAGGAGTATTTAATTATATGTAAGAACGATAAGCTCCGATCTTTCGGGCCTAAAGAACTGACTTTTTCTCTCCTTACCAAAGTTAGTATTTCGAACAGCGACTCCGCAGCTTCTGTTTAAAAAACTCAAAAGATCCCCATTCCATCCCAATGTTCTGTTCAATTCTTGACGATATTTTAAAGCTGGGAATATTTAGAAGTAAAATAAATCTTGGAAAAGCCATATTTTGGAAAATTAGGAAAGTTTATTCCACGTAGGTGTTTCAAGCCCACAGAGATTTCTTTCATCGAAAAATTAACAACAGTTGCTAAGAAATCATCACGGGCCCAAAAGAGTTAAAACAATAAGTTATGCACTGAATATCTATATTCAAAGTCTTGCTCATCTATCCATGGTATCAAGAAACATGAAATAAAATTGTTCATTAGCTTCTTCAGTCCCAAGCTCACCTAATTTCATTTTTAAATAGGCGCCCAATTAACAAACCATCATTTCTCTGATTTCTGCGCATTTTCCACGTTCAAAGGAGAACTAGTCAAGCTCGTAACCTCGTACTCAGAGGCTTTTTTAAATCAGAACACTTAAGCCTAAGCATCTTGGAAAGAAATGTTTTAGCAGTAAATTTCCGATGATTTACCAAACTCGGTAAGTTTTCGTTTATGATTTCATTTCTCAGTAATGAATTCATACCTGCTCAATCCTTTGATCCAGTGCAAACTTGTTTTCTAGGAGTTTGTTATGGTATTTCTAAAAATAAAACACTTTTTCCCAATATTTATTGTTCTGTCACATAATCTGACCTATACAGATTGTAGTCACACAGAAACTTAGCATAGGCCCCAAAAATCAAATTTTTGCAACCAAATTCTTAGCGCTTTTCGAAAGATATCCTTAAACTGAGCAGCAAGTGTCCTATCTCATCTAATACGTATGTGGACGAGTTGTCACTATTACATAGACGAGCTTCCAGGAATAGTCAATCAAGGCGAACCGTGTTGAAAGAAAAAATCATGTTGTGTTAAGAAAGTTGCCAAACTTACAATGTCGGCAGATGGAACATAAAGTAGCGGAATCACAAAAGAAAAACTTAAAAGCTCTATAACTGTGCGGAAATACTTCGAAGATTGTAACGATCATGGATGATTTCCATTTCTTTTTCAACTGATGATCATTTTCGCTATACTTAGAACGGTATTTACCTTTCAAGCTGTTATTTATTGTAACTAAGATACCTGTTGGAAGATCGTTGAATTCACCGAGAAGACATCGGCATCCTGGTCACTTGAGGTGAGTTTTAGAGCATGTATGGATCGATCGCGCTCTTCGACGAGCATAAGAAGATCCTTGTAGAGCCGTTCAGCAACGTAGTCCAACAAACGTCGCATGCTAGAAGTGACAATCTTAGAACATTTTTATCATATCACATTAATTATCGAGTAAGTCTAGAGAGTATCAACATCAACAAACTACATGCTGTTTAGAAAAGAAGAATGGACGATTATATTTTGTGGCAATTTATGTCTTCTTGTTTTCAGTCCCTTTAGCGAGAAAATAACAACGGATAGGACGGTTCGTTTCGCGGTGAGAGCAGCTGCGCTTCTTGGTGGAAACATACCACTTTTCGCCCGTTTAGGACACCTTAGTAGAGCCCACTAATAGTTTGACATAGAGAATGTCTTCATGCATATTTACCAGCAGTCGACTGATAACAAATGAAGCATAGACAGTGATACTGTTCTTCCAAAATTATAGAAAGAAACAAATTTTAGAACTAGAACCTTTCTCTCTGCTTGTCCTCTTTCTTTAATATCGGCTTCACTGTAATGTGCTGATTATCGGGTGAAGGACTTCTCATGCGATACTCCTGAGCAACGACTTCGAAATTTATCTAGAGGAAGCATTTATAATAATACTTGAAGGTGTTCCGGGAATTTTACTCGAGAGTTGGGAAGGAATGTTGAAATTTATGGCGTTTCAAGAAATTTAACACTTTCTAGTTTTCAAGTACAGGTAAACACGCTCTTTAAGAGGCCAAGAGGCCTATAAAGATTCATAAATTCTTCAGGACTTCATCTGAACGAGGAAACGACCAAACTGGCTCACCGTGTCTGCAAATGTTACCGATTTTCTATTAGATGAACTTGGACGAGTATCAATGGCTAGCAAATCCTCCATGGATGACGATTCCAGATCAGTTAACCTAAAGATAGTATTAAAGATGAGGTGTATTTTTAGTAGAGTTGACAAATACATTTTTTTCATAATTTCCAGCAAGTGATGTGTATATCGCAGAATTTGAAAAGGATCAAAGAATTAGAGTTAGAAGGTTAAAACCATTTCTCAAAAATTTGTGTAATAATCAGTTAACCCACTGGTCCTTGAAGTCTGGTAGCGAGGCATCTATTTCCGGAGTATCTTCGAGAACGACAACTGGAAGAGATGATGAGGAAAGGAAGGACGACGACATCGATGTCATCTGATCCCGCATTTCTTTCTTAGAGCTAGCTTCGATGTAATCCAGTAATGGCGACATGACCGCCGATTTATCTCGCACCGCCCTATTATGAGTGTTTTCTAGTCCACGCCTATCACCATTGCTAATATCCATGAAAGAAGGATCGAGATCGGCCGTTGAAGTCGACTTATCCTTTAGTAGTTCACTTGTTGCCCGAGAAAACGCTGGCGGGTGAAGAACAGGAGGCTCACCTAAGAGCGAGTAATTTTAAAAATTTCCATAAAAGGATGAAATACTCTCCAAACATGTTTGGTAACAATCTTTTTCTTAGGAGTTCTATGTTGAAAAATTTGGGCTGTTATGAGCCACAAGAATGCTATTATACAATTTTTGTAGCATTGTGATCACATCGTTTTCTTTCAACTTTTGGTAAACAATCCAACACCAAGGATACCACTTGGATACGTTAAGAAAGCTTCTCTTATGACAGCATTAGTGTGATAAAAGGATAAAAGGATAAAGCTGTTGGCGCTCAATCCCTGATGGATGCATCATGCATTCGACTTCATTAAGCAACATTTGGAGGTGATTGAATGCATATATGGCCTTTAAAATGATTCGTGGTGGCCCAGCGATCTATCAAGCCAGTGCTACTATCCTCTCAGACAAATCTGGTGATGGAAGGGTTGGTGGGTCATGGATATGGGAATCGATTCCACGTATGTTGCAGGGCGCTTCTGACCACTGCGGCACACGCTCTGCGAAATGTAACTAATAAATTGCTTCAGCAGCCGCAGCTTAACTTGGTTCTATGCCGATTTGAGCGCCCCAGATCAATCCCGCTGACGGGTGATTGCTGTGGCAAAGATCGATAGAAATAGCTGAGAGACAGGCGAAACAAAGGACCCGCATGGTGTGGTGGCGAACGCGTTACTCCCCGGAAAGGACAATAGCGCGTTCGTTCCCCACCATAGACACCTGCGGTCCAGAGTTTTGCAAATATCTCAGCAACGTTGTGGTCGTATTTTGCTTAGTAAACTGCCATGAAAATTATAGAAGGCAGAAAACAAAACGTTAAACAAAGTTATTTGCATTACAAATATTGGAATATGTTGGTGCATAAATCCATTCAGAATTCACTGTTATCTCATGGAACTGTGCAAAACAACCCATGGTGGATGAGGCTGCTAAACTTCCCTCGCTAAGAATAAAGAGATTAGTGGTCTTTTTTTTGCAAGAATGAAGTAACCAGATAAGCCACAGCACTCAAGCAAAATGCTTTATCCGCTTCCGATTTTGACTACTGTACTCATTCCTCATGTACTTGATTGTAAGCTCTATATTTATCTTGACATTTCTTGTTAAGTAATAACTGATTATACCCCGATTATCTCAACTCCATAAGAACCCATTTACATCAAATTAATTCAAAAGCATGTAATCGAAAACCATTTACTAGCAGAAGAGTGATTTCATGCAAACCGTCTTATTTTTCTTACGGTATTGGCAACTGAAGTACGTCAACTATCAACTTGCGGTAGAAGACGAACGAATGGAATAAAATATTGGCACTTGACCTACAGCTTTGTCACATAATACTTTTCTATTACACTTCCAAAGACAATGAAATCGATAAAAAGAGAGTTACGAAAATGTAGCCAAACATATCAGTCAAGCTTGACAACGAAGTAAACAAGATGACAGCTAAAGGGAAATACAACAAACTGATTTGATGCCAGTGATAGTGGAAGAAAACAACGATCATTTTTAAAACGTAATATACGTTCAGCGCTCAGAATCACCACTACGCGTAGTAGAGGAGAACTAACGCATACTTTATGTATACTTATAAGGCCCTGCCGATATACTAAATCAGCTTTTATTCCTCTTAGACAAGAATGGTACCAGTTTGTTGCCGCGGGAAGAGGGCATTGAATACTTGGTTTGACTGGGAAGGGGGTTCAACTGAACGACCACGTGTGTATTATGAGACACCTCTAACCACTGACCACTGAGGTATGTGCTCCACTCTTGTCCTTAACAGTACGGAACTATACATTTAAACCCGTAAAGAAAGTGGTTAGCTTTTAAAGTATACCCTAATTAGTTTTTGGAATAAACCATTATTCTTATTCTACTTTCTTACTAGCTTTCTACCTAATGTGATCATGTAAACGATTGCTTTCTTTAATAAAGTTGTTTAACCCGTGAAGAAATTCGGCTTTTCCAGAAATTCAGCCAGTAGGAAACCTGTGTCAAAATTAACCAACAATTCCACATAAAGTGCTCGTAGGATGCTTGACTTCCCTCCGACCCGTAAGAATGAGGAATTTCTGTAATTCTGTAATAAACACATGCGGATACCCTTGCAAAGCAATATTAGAAAGCTTTCTATTTCTGTATTTGGAACTGAATAAATTATTAAAATTAGCTACTTGAAAATCAAATAATAATTGTGGTGAAATTTAAAGTTAAATGTTAACTCTTTTTATTTACTACCTATTACAATTTTTCATGGCAGGATATCACGAATGATACGACCACAACGATTCTGAAATATTTGCAAAACTCCGGACCGCTGGTGTCTGCGGCGGGGACGGGAACGAACGCGCTTTTATCCATCCCGGGGCTATGCATTCACCACTACACTATGCAGGTCCTTCTGCTTTATTATTAAAGTTCAAGATTTTACCAAAACCCCTCTACTTCACATTAATGAACCGAAGTAAAATCGATAAGGAGTGCGATATCACATCTTGCTTTTTTATAATAATAGAAAAACTGCCCACTTCCCCAAAATGTCAATGGCTCATGCCTGCCTGAATTTATATAATTCTGTGGCAAAGAAGTGGCCTATGAAAAACTCTAAACCACGTATTCCCGCCTTCCTTTTTGATAGATTAATTTCCTCACCAATGAACACCACGACAAATACGCTATTTTGCAGACCTTCCTTTTTACTTATTCACCTTATTCAACTGTTACTTATTCAACTGTTGTGGTAGTACTATTTGATGTCTTCAAGAACAACCAAGACGGTTCGTGCTTCCCCAAGATCGTTCCTTCAGGTAGCAAAAAAAATGTGATAAGGAGTCATCATGACATCACCATTGGGCACTCGGTGTCCCTTGAGAATCTGAGTGATCTTCGCGACCTTGTGACCAGGTTTTTCTATTTATTTTGACATTATGTGAACGTGGAAGTGTCGAAGTCTTTCACAGCTCGAGCGAACATTGTTGAGGGACGAAACCAGTTGTTATGCAACGTAACATGACAGATAGGAAAGCCATGCCCGATTACGTGGTTACCTATCAGCGCTTTCAAACTTATTGCAATAATTTTTCAGAAAGTTTTGCAAAACATGAGTGTTGGTAGCGCGGAGGTCAAGGGAGTCCTCTGATACATATAGGTTATGGTTCGAGTGTACCCTGCAGACTCACCAAGCCTAACATCCATCAGAGACCTTCAAATTGCTAGCAGACTTGCCTACGTAAACATAATATATTCATTAGCATGCGCCTGAAAGCCGTTTTGCACAGATCTACATTTATGTCATCAAATATTCTTTATAATCGCTAATATGGAAGCATGTGGAGTAGTGGTCGAAGGCGCCCTGCAGTATATATGGGATCGATTCCCGCGCCTCTAGCCCACCAAGCCCTTCATCCGTTCGGAATCCAATAATGGTACCAGACTTGTCTGGGTGGAAAACATAAGTGGCTCGATACATCATTAGTCTCCGCGAATCCTTGTAAAGGCCAGATATGCATTCAATCACCTCAAACGATGCTTAGTGAAATTGAAGGCATGGCGAATCCCTAACGGATTGATTAATGCAGACAGCTTCATCTTTTCTTTAATCGCTGATAGATAGGAACAACCGCCTTTTTTCGTAATCACCTTCAACATGCTCAATAACGACTTCTCCATAATCCGAATCACTTCCGGAAATTTCGGAAAGGCGGAAAAAGTGTCCGTTTCCAATGAGCTCATCAGAATTGCTACTAGTTTCGCTCATGCAATATGTTGACATTTTAACATGCGACTTCTGAAAGAAAACATAGAAACGTCTCATAAAGCTAAATGCAAATTCTATTGAGAAAACGAAATGAAACTGAAGATGTTCATTTTTTAATCTATGTAAGAAGTTTTTCGTTGTACTATTAACGTTTATGCTCACAATCTTATAAGATGATTAAGATTAAATTGACTGAATGAGTATTGATTATCCGAGAATAGGTTGTAGTATACCTAAAAAACCAATACTTAAGACAAGATTACTGCACCGTTCCCAAAATTTTCTGATGACTGTTCCGGTAGATACGGCTGCTTATTGGGTATAAAAGTGCTCCTCGAATCTTCACCAAAGCAAAAAAACATTAACTTTTAAGGACTTTTGCAAAATTTCTCTAGCTGGTGACTTTGCCTCAGCTAAAGAAATCGAAGGAGTTTCAACATTTTCCTCAACGCTCGTCGGTTTTTCGAGTGAAACTCGCTTGCCCGCAGTTACCTATGTTGCAAGCAAAGGTCTATACTTACGGTTTTAGGGTTTCCCCTTGCTTGTACCGCATTTCCCACATCCATATACGTTGATAATCTAGAACACTCATTCTAATAGCAATACATAAAACCAAAATCTTGGAAACCCTTCAGTCAGGCTATCTCAAGACTCCAGGGAGAATTGCTCAACCAGCATCCAACGACATTCAAGATGAAATGGAAACCCTCAAGTAACAACCGAAGCCACATTGGAAGATCTTCGTGGGACAATGGGTGCGAGGAAATGAATCGAATTTGAGAAGTGCTGGGAACCGCACAGAAGCCGTGAAGACGGATGAAATAAAATTTAAAAAAAAAACATAAATTCATAGGTAAAGAAGCGACAAGGAGGTTTCTATTCTATCAATTAATGGCCCGATAAAAGTAGTAATTTACAAACGTCGTCAAAACCTCATTCAAAAGTGTGCACATGCAAAGAATTTTTTTGCTTGATTTCAGGTTTTCAGTGCCAGTATGAGTCCTGCGAACCTTTTAAAATTCTTGCAAACAATAAATTATGCGTAGGGTCGCATGTTGTTTACGTGACCTTCAAGATAGAACGCAGAAAAGCTAGAGATAAAATGCAAAATAGGAGCGAACAACACCAAAGTGAAGGCCCTACCAAAAGCACGATTTCCTCAGCCGTTCTTTAGACAACAAGAACTCAACAATGAAGCACACGTTAAATTCCCGATACTTACGAATGAAACTTTCAAAGTCCTTAATCCCTATCGCTCGAAAAGATACAGCTCCAACCTCACTGAAGTGCAAAAACCTGGTATGCGAGAGGTACGAGAGCCGATAAGGTTGAAAAACATAAGACTATCACTTAGTGATAAGGATGGAGAGCTCGTTGTAATTCCTCATTATTTAGATGTTGAGATAACAGGAAAGCATCATGAAGATGCTTCCTTTTATCGTCCATCGTCTGAGAAGAAATTTAAAAGTCAATACCGAAAGTTAAACAACAAATGGGTTAAAATGGGAAGAGCGGCTGGGTTAAAACCACCAGTTATTTCTCAACTCAAAGTTGACTTAACAACATGTCCCCCCTTGTACTTATAAAAACTCACAAGTTAGTATCCAGCGATGATCCTGCATCTACCGATCCATTATTGTTTAAGGTTAGACCTATCATTAACTGTTTATACGAGCCAACGGATAGGATAACGTGGTTTTAGCACTAATATCTACCCAGTTGTTGAAACACATTCCAGCTCAACTTACGAATACCCAGATGTTTCTGGATCGCCTGCGTACTGCGCAGCCCGGCAGCGCGTACGTGATGGAGTCCTTCGACGTTACCGCCCTTTATATAAACGTGTCGAATGACTCCGCAATGCAAGCCATATTCGAACTCCTTACACAACACGAAGGAGAAATAAACATGTATGGCTTTAGGATAGAGCACCTGATGGCACTCTTAAAAGAATGCTTGAGCTGCTCAATCTTCAGATGGTCTGGAAAGTACTACGCTCAAATAAGAGGGTTGGCAATGAGACAACGACTGCCACCAAGTCTTTCCATTGCGTTTATGTCGTCTAAGGTGGAAGCACCGGTGACCGATCTGTGTCTGTTACTCTACTGCAGATATATAGATGACTGTTTTGTCCTTAGATCAACACAAGAGGAGATGGATAAATGTTTTGGGTTCTTAAACGAACGGTTAGAGTGTATCAAGTTCATCCGAGAGAAACCGAAAGGAAACAGACTTCCATTTCTGAACGTCCAAATTAACCTGTTAGAAAATGGCCACATTACGAAGTGGTACCGAAAGCGAAGTAATAAAAACATCGTGGCTCATTACCTCTCCTCTCACTCCTCTCACACGAAAATGGCGCTTGTAAGAAACATGTTTCGAACAGCAACCAACGTGTGCACGGGAACAGAGCAGAGAGAGGAGTCCCGGAACAGGGCACGGCAAATAGCCCTTTCTAATGGCTGCGAAATTGTAGCTCGGGATGTAGGGGAAATGCTAGGCCTCCAAACGACAACTCTAGCGATAAAAAGGTCCCATTTATCTTACCCTTCATCTCAAATTATGTAAGTACAGCTATAAAACGCCGCTTAAGAAGGGCGGGTCTAGAAAATTCCGTAAACGTAGTTGAAATGCCACCGAGTACCCTTAGGCGTCAGCCGTCTATGTGCAACGCAAAATCGCATAATTTGCCCCAATGGTAGAGACGGTGATTGCATGAGCTCGTATACAGTTTATCTGATCTCCTGTAGGGCGTGCGGAGACGAATACATTGGCGAAACGGGTAGACCACTCTGTGTCCGCATAAAAGAACCGTAGTCTGCAAACGTAAACCAAATACTGGGCACGCATAGGACACAGAGACATAACGGAGAAGATTTTGAAGTAAGGGTTACGATCCTCGCGCAAGAATCGAGAACACAAGCGCGCAAAACTCTCGAGGCGTTCTACTCCACTCCAACTCCAAAAATCCGAAAATGAACTGCAAGGTAGGATGCTTCATTATCACGCGTGATATTGGGTGGTATATAAGCCTGTTATTGTGATGGGAGGGGCACAATGCGCCTTCATGTGAATTCTGTACAGTTGGTCTTCACGCGACATACAGTGGAAGCCTCGCAGAAAGCGGTGAGTGTGCAAAGCTGTGTTCAATGTGAATGAAATCTTGGTTTAGCGTTTTCTTTGTTTGGTTCTGAAGGTGTTTGGCCGAATAGACTGCCGTCAACCTAACCTTTCCAGACTCTGAGGAAGGCGAAATCCACCGAAACGTCAGCTCGTTCGTGAATAAAGAATAAAAGTAACACCTCGCGTTTGCTCAACAAGAATGCGAAGAATAAACGATGAACCGTCGTATTCATACTGAATCATTACTCTTATGACTCGTAATACTGAGATATTTGCAAAACTCCGGACTACAGGTGTATGCGGTGGGGAACGAACTGTTTTTGTTATGGTTGAAAAAATATCTATACCTTCAAGAAAAAATCACAAATGTAAGGATTTCCTGAAGCACCAACGATTTTCTCAAGGTTTAATAATAGATACTGTATAAAAACGGTCAATTTTAAACCATTTTCCTTAGAAACACAGCCCAGTCTAAACGCTTCTGAACTTAGAGATCTGTTCTTCTAAATTATCTGGAAAACATATTTTTGACAAATCTTAAGTAAAGAATAACCTCATGAAATTAAGCAGAACTCCTGGTCTCACTGGTTCAACAGCAAATTAAACAGCTTTTGTTAAATCACCTACATTAATCAACACCACGATTTACTGATAAGCTGGTGGTGAACTCACTTAAAGAGTGTTTAACGTTTTGTTTTCTGCCTTCTATAATTTTCATGGCAGGTTACTAAGCGAAATACAACCACAACGTTGCTGAGATATTTGCAAAACTCTGGACCGCAGGTGTCTATGGTGGGGAACGAACGCGCTATTGTCCTTCCGGGGAGTAACGCGTTCACCACCACACCATGCGGGTCCTTTGTTTCGCACGTCTCTCAGCTATTTCTATCGATCTTTTTGCCACAGCAATCACCCGTCAGCGGGGTTGATCTGGGGAGCGCAAATCGGCATAGAACCCAGTTAAGCTATGGCTGTAGTTGAAATCACAATGTTTAACGTTTTGTTTAACCACCATAGACAACCGCGGTCCAGAGTTTTGCAAACATCTCAGCAACGTTGTGGTTGTATTTCGCTTAGTAACCTGCCATGAAAATTATAGAAGGCAGAAAACAAAACGTTAAACATTGTGATTTCAACTACAGCCATAGCTTAACTGGGTTCTATGCCGATTTGCGCTCCCCAGATCAACCCCGCTGACGGGTGATTGCTGTGGCAAAAAGATCGATAGAAATAGCTGAGAGACGTGCGAAACAAAGGACCCGCATGGTGTGGTGGTGAGCGCGTTACTCCCCGGAAAGGATAATAGCGCGTTCGTTCTCCACCATAGACACCTGCGGTCCAGAGTTTTGCAAATATCTCAGCAACGTTGTGGTTGTATTTCGTCCACTTAAAGAGTGTTGAAAATTTCCGTATCCACACCAGCAACGAACTAAAAATTTAAGAAGTCTAAATATAAACCAAGAACTGAAGCATACCGCAATGTTTCTGATAGGTTCTGATGTCAACGGATCCTGTTGAACTGCCATCATGCACTTTTCACGCTGAACAAACAGATGTGCAGCGGCGTTGGACTGATGAGAGCGCTCTGTTGGCGGTTCACTCGAGTGCGAGAGTAGGGAGAGCGAAGGAGTTACTGAGGGTCGACGACCACTTGTGTAGTACATGACGACTCTGTCGATGGTCGCTGGATGACCATGGTGGCGATTCCGACCGCCGTCCTTCCGTTCAGATTGACTGCTTCCAAGTGCAGTTGCGCTATCAGTTGTATCGTTTTTCTTGTAGTGGTAACGCCAAAAACGATCAAACGCATTCATGTCGACCTTAAAGTCATCATTAGCATTAGATAATCCTGCAATCCAATCAAAATATGTACTCTTCGGCGAAGTTGAGGCCTTAATATTTACCATTAAGTAGTCCTTAGAACAATTCTTTGCTCATTTGCATGGACACTGCCATTAACTCCCATTTGCATACATAGGACATCGTAAAAAGTGCAATCGATGGCCAGAAGGCCTTTCTTCCAGATACAAAAAAACTGTGCTACATAGAACGTGTAGAAATCTCTATTACATTTAACGTTCATGTTCCCGATCCATATGTAACAAGCGATTAATTATCAGTAAGCAACTAGACTTCCTCTAAGTACTAGTCAACTATACGACCTCTCTTTTCGCGTCCTCTCGAGCTCGATGAAGGTTGCAGTTGAACCTCAATTTAACGATGCTCGTTCTGTCCAGATCAGAACTGACCAACGAATTCGACTCGCTCTTTCCCGACGTTGTCGAGGAGTCCATTCGACTCAATTCGATTTTCGGTATCTGTAAAATTTCATTTAGGCGCCAATATGCAATAGACAAGAACGATCAGAATGAATTCTCCAACGATCGGTCAAAATTGTCAATTCTCAGTAAGTTGTTGTATGCTTGATAGGCCTATACGATCTTGAGCAGATTGTTAACGAGAGATAAAGCTGGTTTATCGGCGGATTTTGCCTCCTTGTGAACTGCTATGCTCGTCGTTGGTAAGAACTTGAGGCCAATCGCAAAGAGTTAATATATAGAAGGAATGGTTCTGAGGAACACGAAATCTATTGAGGCGATAGCAGTATTCAATAATTTCTCTATTGAAAACCTCTTGTCAGCCCATCAAATGCTATGCAAATTAGTACACTATTCACAGATTTAGTTAATTTTACCACTATGAACTATAATAAAAAGTAACTCCCAAGTCCGACATTCTATTAACCTCGGCATTGATTGAATATATCTTTCTACTTCTGTTCAGCAAACACGAGGTGCTATTTCATTTCTTTATTTACGCACAAGCTGACACTTCGGCGGATTTCGCCTTTCTCAGAGCCTGGAAGGGTCAACTTGACAGCAATCCATTCGGCCAAACACCTCCCTAACCAAACAGAGGAAACGCCAAACCAAGATTTCAATCACATTTAGCATAGCTCTGCACACTCACCGCTTTCTATGAGTCTTCCACTGAGTATGCCGCGTGAAGACCGACAGCACCAAATTCACATGGAAGCGTAATGTGCTCCTTCCATCAGAATAACAGGTTTATATACTGTCCAATATCGCGCGTGATAACGAGGCATTCCTCCCTGCGGTTCATTTTCGGATTCTTGGAATTTATCCAGAATGCCTCTAGAGTTTTGCGCGCTTGTGTTCTCGATTCTGGCGCGAGGATCGTAACCCTTACTTCAAAATCTTCTCCGTTATGTTTCTGCGTGCTATGCGTACCTAGTGGAGTACTTAGCTTACGTTTGCCGACTAGGTGCTCTTTTATACGTACGCAGAGTGGTCTACCCGTTTCGCCAACGTATTCGTCCACGCACGCTTTACAAGAGAACAGATAGACTGTACCCGAACTCATACAGTCACCATCTCTGCCACTGGTGCAAATTAGGCAATTTTGCGTTGCACATAGACGGTCGTATAGGCGGTTACGAACTAGCTCTCGGGTGAATTTAATATACTCTGACTGTGTGTCCAACAACTCGAAGCATCTGTCGATTTCTTCTTGCGTTGAACAAATGACCAAGCAGTCATCTATATATCTAAAGTAGAGTAACGGACCGAGGTCGATTACTGGCGCTTCCACCTTAGACATGAATGCAATGGCAAGGCTTGGTGCCAGTCGTTGTCCCATTGCCAACCCCCTCATTTGTGCGTAATACCTCCCGGACCATCTGAAGATTGAGCAGTTTAGGCACTCCTTTAAGAGTGTCATCAACTGCTGAATCGAGAAGCCGTACATGTTTATTGCTCCTTCGTGTTGTATAAGGAACTCGTTTATGACTTGCATAGCGGAGTCATTCGACACGTTCGTATACAGGGCAGTGACGTCGAAGGACTCCACCACGTACGCGTTGTTGGGTCGCCCGTTACGTAGACAATCCAGGAACATTTGGGTGTTCGTTAGATGAGCTGGAATGTACTTCAACAACTGAGTAAGTATTAGGGTTATTAACCACGTTATCCAATCCGTTGGCCCGTCTACGCAGTTAATGATAGGTCTAATCTCAAGCAATGATGGACCGGTAGGCGCGAGATCATCGCTGGATACTAACTTATGGGTTTTGATAAGTAAGTACAGGACGGAACATGTTGGTAAGTCAATTTTGAGATGAGAGATAACTGATGGTTTTAACCCTGCCGCTTTTGCCACTTTAACCCATTCGTTGTTTAACCTTCGGTATTGACTTTTAAATGCCTTCTCAGACGACGGTTGATGAAGGGAAGCATCTTTGAGATGTTTTTCCGTTATCTCAACATCTAACTAATGGGGAATTACAACGAACTCTCCACCTTTATCACTAACCGATAGACTTATGTTTTTTGATCTTATCAGCTCTCGTACCTCCCGCATACCACGTTTTTGCATTTCAGTGAGGTTGGAGCAGTATCTTTTAGCGCGATAGTGATTAAGGACTTTGAAAGCTTCATTCGTAAACATCCGAAATTTAACATCAACCTCATTAATGGGCCGTTGTTGTCTACAGAACGGTTGAGGAAATGGTGGTACTGGTATCGCCCCTACTTTTTGTTGTTCGCGCCTACTTTGCGCTTCATCCCTAGTTTTTTTTGTGGAGTCCATCTTGAAGTTCATGTAAACTACATGCGACCCTACGCAAGGTTACCTTAGAAATGGGTTCAGATGGTGAGAAACTCGGTCCCAATTCTAATAACGAGCGCGCACCGTCAGAGAGGGTAATGCCTCCTAGCACGCGCTCAACCTTGATTTTCTTTGCACATTATTTATCCTACTGCGAATCGTTTGATCTTCGTTGGCGGTGTTTCTGTATGCTCTTGAAGCCGTGTTACGCGATTTACTCAAAAGGTCTTGGAATTTCCTCCGCAAAGCTACTTTAGCATTAGACCTAATAGAGTTGCAAATCAACACTGACCCACCCACTATTCTCCTCCAGAGGCGGCCCTCCAAATACTGAGCACAATAGTTTTCTTTCTTCTCGCACTTCTTCCACTTAGCGAGCATCTGGTTTTGTTTGCTTCGTAGACAGGTGCGCAGTACTTGCAATTCGATGTGCAGTACTCGGTGATCATCCTCTGGCAGTCCGCATACTTCGTGTAGTCGTTTTCTTTTTATGAATTTCGAAACAACTCGGTGTTTTATGCAGCGGCGGAGAAAGTGTATCGCCTGTCGAGCGAGCTAAGACGATCTTTTGTCTTAGTGACAGTGCTCCTTTTGCAAGTCGGAAATATCTTGCTGGTACATCGTGTAGTAACTCCCAAGTCCGACTTCCTATTAACCTCGGTATTGATTGAATATATCTTTCTACTTCTGTTCAGCAAACACGAGGTGCTATTTTATTTCTTTATTTACGCACAAGCTGACACTTCGGCGGATTTCGCCTTTCTCAGAGCCTGGAAGGGTCAACTTGACAGCAATCCATTCGGCCAAACACCATCCATTCCATTGTCGAAAATCAATATTTGAACATTGCGATTTTCGGTGGATTTTGGGGTATTGCTTGCGTGCTTCGATCCATCAAGGTCTAAACGCTGCTGATTCTAATGCGCCGAACTCCGATTTGTTGTTTTCTATACAGTTTAGACCTTAATGGATTTTGGAACTGTTTTTATAGTTCCCAGGATCGACTTTCTCTTAACCTCCGCATTGGAATATGAATGTGTCGTTTTCTCGTTTTCTTGTTCGGCAATCGCGAGGTTTTTAAACAGCATACATTTACTTCCATAAAAACACAATACAATACAACGCTA